AATTGCAAATGTATAGTGACCCAAGATTAACAAAGTGATCCTCGAGTTACCGTTACTCCTTTGACAGGAACCCCTGTTCTTCAAAGCTTTTAATCGGCTGAATCCAAATTGCACAATATTGTGAAAAACTCCCAAATTAATCCTTGATTTTGGAAGAAAACTCCAATTGAATTTATCTTGAAACCCCCGAAGAAATCTCAATCCAATTTGATTACACCAATCTTAAATTGGACCTTATCAACCTAATTATAGATGGCACCCAATAAATATAATTATGTGTAATTGTTGTGTGTATGCATAGAGATAAGTTGAAGATGATGAGCAACACTTTGTATATTTTCAGGTTTAAATGATGACAAATAATGCATGAATGATATTTACATGATGTGTGTGAAGTGAAAAAAATAACAGAAAAAACAGATTAAATTTTTACACGTTTTAGAAAAATAGCATTATGTGTTGACCTGAATCAGCTATGTGTCGACACATAGTAGAAATTTTGCTACTATGTGTCGACCTGAAAGTCGTATATGTCGACACATGCAAAACATAAACTTGTGATTTTGGTAAACTTACAGCATGTGTCAACATGTGACTCGTATGTGTCGACTCATAAAAGTATTTTTTATTTCTATATGTCGACCTGTAGCATATATGTGTCGACTCATGTAAAACTTAAACTTCTGATTTTGAAAACAGATAACACGTATCGATCTGTAGACTCTATGTATTGATCAAAATATATATTTTCAGAAAATACTTCTGTATAGGTCAATCTAAAGATCGGGTATGTCGACATATGCATAACATTTTTTTTAAAATAAAAATACTTGATTTTTAACAAATACTAACCTGAAGCAATGATAATTAAAGTCATATTTATTTGATATTTGTAATAATAAATATGTTGGGTTGGTTAAGTATTCATATTGTGGATACAAATATAAAGATAATTAATGTAGAATATAGTATCATTATTCTAGTGCTCACTTTGCATATATAAATATAATTGATTAAAAAATATTAAAAAATATTTTAAAATTTTATCTTAAATTTCAAATTTAAATTAAATCTAAAATATGTTTTATACTATAAATATTTTTAATTATATCTAAATTAAAATAAAATGTATTAAAAAATTATTATAAAAAAATTAATTACAAACAAAAAAAGTTTTTTTTTTAATTTTGAAAATATGTCTATCATACATATTTTATTTTTATTTTTTCTTCAAAATAGTTTTGAAAATGAATTTATAAAATATTTTTTTAATATTAAAAATCAAAACTTATTTAGACAAGCTCTTATTCATTTAATTATTATTTTTTAATCTATGTCTAATAACCTTAAGAAACTTTTATTTTGAAACAAATGAAGTAATAAAATTTATTAGTTTAATTTTATAAAATTAGAATTGGATTTTATTATTAAACTAATTTTTTGAATGTATAGTAATTCATCATTATTTTTACATTAATTCAAAGAACAAACAATAAATTGGTTTAATAATACAATCGAATTTTGAAAACAATAAATTAAAATAAAGATATTATAATAGATTTCATAATCAATACGATCACTAAGAAAAAATCAATAGACTTCTTTAGGTTGAAGTTGCAAGAATCATTAAGTGGTGTTGGATGCCCCAGTGTTCTACCCTTCTGATTTTTTCTACGTGCAGGTGGATGCGGGCTGCTTCACGAACGACACAATTGCGCTATGGTGTATGATCAAAGGGAAAGATGGTAAGTTTATGATTGTTGCTAGCAAGAAGGAAGAGTTTCGATTTAAAGTAGGACCGTGTGATTTTCCAATATGATGCTTTGGTGGTGGTCGACTGTGTCAACTCTATACCCTTCATTGGAGATTTGGAGGAGGCAAAGGTTTCCTAGCTGCCTCAAGGGTTTTAGATGTTTGATGTTGAACGAGTAGTTTTGGGAGATGCTATCGTTTGATATATTTGATGGAAAGAGTTTGGAGATGGAGATCTGCACTTTGATCGAAATATATGGATTTGATTCAGTTGAATTTAGAAATGGTAGATCGTGGAAATCGTAGGAATCAAAAGTGGATTTTTACATACTGCACCAATGTTCTACTCTTGAACTGTGTGATGATCGAGAGGTTGAATTCATTGTTAGCTACTATGGTTTATTGATCCTGATGAGGTGGAATTGGGACCGACTTACAAGATTAGCACTTAAACACTTAAGTTAGTAAGAGAGTGAAAGTGAAAGTGAAATTTGAATGAGAATGATTCGTATCATGAGATTGGTGCACTTTCCTATTTAAATAAGATATATTGCCGGTAACTACATGTGCATGGAATGCATCCAACTATTAGATTAATTTTGGGAGATTGGCATCCTAACTTTGTGATGGACATCCTGCCACGCGAAAGAAAAATAGGGTTGCATACTCTGTTGGATTATTATGAGGGGGAAGTATTCACATTGGGTAAAACACTCACTTAAAGGGCAAAGGCTCACCCAAACAAATGAGAGAGACATTACATATTCACCCAAAACCTTAAGGTGATAGGTGTATGAGTCTTCTCACTTATAAAGTTCTCAACCTCCACTTTTCTAAGCAATGATGGGAAATTAATACAAAATAACACAACAATGCACAGTGGATATAGAATTCCCCATACTTGTAGGAACCTTGAAGACCAACAACAAATATAAAACGTCAAATCGAAAAAATAAAGGCACAAAAGAACACCGATATTTTTAACGTGGAAAACCCCTCAATATGAGAGAAAAACCATGAGTCATCCAGACCAAAGAAATAACTCCACTATAATCAATTGAGGTTACAATAGAGTTCAAAAGTGATTCACAAAACAGTTATAACAACTGCAAATCACAAAACAAACTAGCTTACAAATAAGAATAAAAAAGATGAAAACTTAATCAAATCTACACCTTCAGTGCGAAGCATTTATCTCTCATCTTAGACTTCATTTTAAAGATTCCAATGATAACAAGTTAGATATAGGTGTTTCGAACCTACCCTCCAAATTTGAGCTTGATCCAAAGGCTAACGAATCGGGGATCTTCGATTTAGTGAGACTGGTGCAGAAAAAACGAGAATGAGTTTATATCCTCTTTTCTCTCTTTTGAATCCTTATATTTTCTCTATTTCTCTTAACCATAAATTTATATTCTCCACTTAAATAATTGTGACAAATGGGCTATTCATATTTGGGTCTTTCTCCACATAGGAAGGGAGCCCAAGCTCAACAAATCTCCCCCTCACAATTATGTGGAGGAAATCGCCAAACGGACGATATCACAACAAGCTTCAAATTTTCCTCTTGGTAATGCTTTAGTCATCATATCATAACTATTATCATTTTTATGAACTTTAGCTAACTCCAACGCTTAGCATCCATAATATCATGTATCCATTGATATCTCACATTAATGTGTTTGGACCTATTATGAAAAATCAGATTCTTACCAAGATGAATATCATTTTGACTATCAACAAATAAGACATATTTGTCTTGAGCAAAACCAAGCTCTTGCAAAAATTTCATCAACCATAGTGTTGTACCCTAAAATTTGCCCTCATCTCCTAACCCTAATTGGCTTTATGCTTCATATTCATCTACATCTTTCATTAGGTCTTAAACTCACAAATCATGCATCTTCATGAGTCCTTAAGACATGGGATCAAGGGGTTCTTTAAATCAAGGTAGTATTGGCTAACAACATTTTTCTCTATGATTTGAAGTTCTTACACTTAAGTTGAAGCCGAGATTTTGAATCATATCATAACAAGCATATGTCTTTTGCAAGATTCATTAGATACAATGTCATCTTCTTCAAGATATCTCAAGATCAAGATGTTAAGGTTTCAACTTGTTGATGTTAGGGTTTTCATCTATAACTTCAATTGAGAAAGCTGGGAACCATGATTTTGTTGATTCTTAACATCTCAATTCACTTTCTTCATTCAATATGCATCTCAAGTGGATTAAGGTTTTACATCCTTTATGTATGGTTTAGTTGAAGTGTATCATTACAAATGCTTAGGGTTTCATCAAGGGTTCAACTGAGATTTGTTTTGAAATAAAATTTTGGTCTCTTCATCATATAGTGCTTATTCAAAGTATGGCAAGTCAAAGAATGAAGAGGAAATTACAAGTTGTTGTGCAAAGATAAGAAGATGTTTGTGAGTTGAGTTTATGTCAAGTGGACAATTTGAACAAAGTCTGCTTGAACTTTCTTAGCTTTTATCTCACATCATGGTTCTTATTCAATTTTGATTGCAGGAATTGAAAGAAATATTTGAAACAAATTGGAGAAAAGGAGAAGACCTCACACTATATATTTTTATCCAAGAGTCATTCACAAATCCCATTACAAATCAAGATCTTCAAGTCACTATTCTAACCCTTTAGATCAATACAAGCATCACAAAAAAAAGTCATTCTTGGCCTTTTGACTCCTAAAAGAATTGTTATTTTGGTCTTCCAAATTTTACCATCATGACCATCTCCAAGGTTGCTTCTATAACTCCATGCCATTGCTGCCCAATTCAAGCATAAGTAAGTCTGCAACAAGTTCAGACCTGCAGCCAAGGCACACAGCTTACGCAACCATTCAAAACTTACTTCATAAAACCTGCTGCATAACAATGCTAAACCATGTCTCAGTTCAAAACCAAAACTGAAAAAGATCAGAAGAAAGAATAAAGAAAGAGGAAACCGTAAAATAAGAAAATCAGAAGTACAAATATACAACTCAACAAGATGCAATCCTTATCTTTCATTTGAAATAACAAATTTTTTGAGTCAAGGGCTAGGATTTACTCTCACGTAACAAAATTTTCAGCAGATATATCGGATCCATTTTTCACAGAAAGAGGGGGATATGTTTCATTTCACAAAAATCAGTCACAGAAAACGCACCAATTTTTTTTCTCTCTGCATCAACATCATCACTCTATATCAACTTGTCTCAAGCTCTGAGCTGCAAGAACTTCATTCATCATCTTCGTGGCATCCGCTTCAGCAACAATACAACATTCACCAGTTTTAATGCTTCACTGTAACCTTCATCAACTGCAACAAGAACTCAACAGAAACAACAACAAAACACACACACACACACAAACTCAGTTTTAATACAATAAAATAACAACAATAGAGGCGCAGAAAAACGAAAACAGAGAGAAGAAGAAGATTCACGAGTTGTGAGTTGAAGCTAAAAGAGAAAGCTATTTACCAGGATTATTTACCAGGATTTCTTGCGTAATCGTCACTGTGAGGAGCCACCAGAGCTCCGGTAGTGAAATAGAGAAGGTTGAGTTTAAGCGGAGAGATGAGTTTGAGACGGTGGCGCTGCGGCTCTGAGACAAACAAAGAGGAAGGACGGAACGGTGGCGGAGCTATCACTGAAGTCATCAGAGAGGTTGCGTTTGGAAGAAGCATTGCGCCGGTTGAGGTTGAGAAGGAGAAGAGAGTCTGTTCAAAATAAGTTCAATAGACACAACTTCTAAACCCTAAGTGAAACCACACGACACCGTTTCATCACCTTGTTTTTAAAATATTTTCAGTTTTTCTTTAATTCAATATTAATAAATATGCAGAAAAGTTGGAATTGGACTGATGTGATTTTGGAAGTGGATCTTGTTGTTGTTGGGCTCTGCACACTACACTCCTTCCTTAGTCCGTTACCATTGTTTTTGGAGCCTAATCCTTGAATAACAAAAACTCAATTCTTGACTGATTTTGATTGGGCCTCAGCACCTATGTTGCCTCTCCTCACACTAACTGGACTCAACAATGCACCTCTCTCAATTTCTCTTCTATGTTAATTTTCTTTTCCATTTTATTTGCTTTAGTTTCAATTTTCTTTCCATGAATTTTGGTGATAAAAATACATGAAAAAACAGTAAAAATGCTAATTGATTTTAGGATTTTTCTTTAGAATTTAATTAGAGTTTTCTATTATTCTTTTCATGTTTGATAATCATTTTGTTGTTACTTTCTTGCCATGATCTTGTTATAGAATATTGATATAACTTTTGTGATTCGAGATGCTTGAGTATTAATTCGGTTGATCACTTGTGAAGCTCCTGCAAGTATTCTTGAGTTTTTTGCGTGTGTTAAAGAGGCAACAAACCTTTCTCCATTATGTATCACTTGAATCTCAATTCTACTCTCTCATTAGCACCATTTTAGATCATTTCTTGACATGAGAATTAGGATAGATATGCCATGAGATGAATTCCTATCTTTGTAGGCTCTGTATTTGCATAGTTAGGAATTAATTTGTGATGATTAGTGTTGATACCTCTAAAGCACGATGCTAATGTTTGATGTGCCTTTGTGCAATATTTTTTATGAAACTCCTTGACACATGTAATGTGATTCTTAGCATGCTTTAATGCATTTTTTGTGTGGATGTTTTGAGCCTTTATAGGTCTTTTTCTAAGTGAATCCTTTTAAAGATGCAATGGATTGATAATTGTTTGCTTGTTTAACCTAATCTTTGAGCATGCTTTATGTGAAAGATTTTTGTTGCTTTTGAATCATGTTTGATGTGAACCTTTTTTCTAAGATATTGCCTTAGCATGGTGATATGCCTTGGTGCTTGGATCATTTGAATGCCATGTTCATGATGAACTAGTTGGTTGATGCATTTAGTTAATGATTATCTAGTTGTTAACCTAATGCATGATCAATTTTTTGTGACATTTCTTAAATCTTTGAGACATGTTTGAAGTAGTTACTTTATGCTTGAACTACTAACTTGAATTGGTCTTTACCTTGCATGATGAGAATTGCCTTTGTATGATAAGTTTTGAAAGGTGGATGATACCTTAACTCTTGATTGTTAGTGCATCTTGTTGTTTTGTTTGTTTAGGTTCTAAAACCCCAATATTAAAGCCTTGTGAACATGACCCTTATGGACTTGTAGGTGTGTATAAGTATCCTTTTACACATTCTTGGAACTTTGTTTAAAGTTTGAAGCATGCTTAGGATTTAGCATTGTTGTTTGAAACTTGGTTGTGGATTGGTGAATCTTCACTCATAGTTGTATGTTTGGATTGTGTGAGATCTTTTAGGGATAACCTTTGAGCTCTTAGGAGTTGGTTTACAATATATTTCCTTAATTATTAGTTGTTCACCTTTAGGGTTTGAGTTTAGTTGTTTTATACTTTGTTTAAAGTTCAAATGTGAAGATGTTGCTTTTTGATGATGATTGTCAATTCTACTTATTAGTATGAGTTGATAGGTTGTTTTTACTCATTGCTTTACCTTGGTTAGGGTAGTAATACATGTGTAGATTTATTTGTTGTTTTGATGATTGGTTTAATCCATGTCTAAATGCTTAGGTACCCTACTTGGTTAAGTGTGATAATTCTTAGGGTTTAGAGATGTGTTCTCTTTACCATGTTTTGATACTTTCCTTAGGGATTTATGTACTTTAATTTGAAGTTACTACTTGTATAATTCCTTGATAACATGTTGATGTTACTTTGTTGTGTTACTTGAGAAGATTCAATATAGTGCATGATAATGTAATTACATGTTTACCTTGCCTATGCATCTTTCTTAAGTCTCTTTGATGCATGATTATTCAATACTTGTTTAAGTGTTACCCTTGTGTTATGTTTGGAACACATACCTACTTGATACTTGTTTAAGTACTATTTTGAACTTCTTTGATGCATGGCTAAGTGTTGCCTTGATGACATGTTTGGATCATTTGTCTTATTGATGCTTTGGTGTTTACCTAAGTGTTTAGAATTGATACTCTGTTACCTATTTGCTTGTTTAATCATTTTTTGTATTGAGTCTTTATAGACTTAGGATGTGGCTACTTGGAGCCTTACTTGTTTAAGTTTGGTGTTTATCTTGAGTCTTATTATACTTAGGATGAGATTGTTTGAAATCTTACTCGTTTAAGTGTGACTTTATCTTGAGTCTTGTTCAAGAACTTGAGATGTTACTTTTGGTTGTTACCTTTGCACATTAGTTTATTGTGTGTTTGCTATGTGTGATACCATGACTCGTTAGGATTTCATAATTCAATATTATTTAAGATTTGAATTGAGGTAAACTTTAGGTACTGATTCAAGTATGACAACATAAGTAGAATTCCCTTTTATCCTCACCTTAAGGCTATTGTACATGACAACCTTAGGTAGATATCCCCTTCATAAATCTTAACATTATATCCACCATTGCATGATAAAAAATATGATTAATATCTCATACATTTTTGTTTTCCTTTTTAAATCGCATCTTCTAAAAATAAAACTCCTTTTCTTATTCAAACTCCAAAAACAATTAACAAATAAAGATGCAAATCATATGACAATGAGCCTTAAGTGGTGGGAGAAGAGTGAGGAAATACATTCCTAACCTTTTTATTTCTTTCATCCATATACTTTTGTATGATTCAACTCACAGCTCTTTCATAAATAAGTGGATAAGTAGTAGGCTCCTCTGCATTGGGAGTCATTTTCTATTATCCTAACAAAACACTCAACAAATTCAAACTTTTGTTTTTGCCTTAGGCTTTTCTTTTGAAAATCTTTTCATAAAGAACATGCCAATTCCCTTTTACAACAATGCATGAGTCTCCAAAGGTTGAGCGACAATAGAATGCAAACTTAGCATCGTTCATAAAAAAACATCTAACAAACAATTTTTTTTTAGAAGAACTATAATGTTCTGATTCCTCCAGGATACGTAGACATTAAGTTGAAAAACCCAAGCGAACACAATAATTTGAAACTTTTTTTCCGTTTAGTAAAGCAATCATTCATGTACTCTTAGCAATCAAACTTTAAGCAACATCCTTACACATAACACAAGCGAAATGGTTCATGTTGAGTACAATGGATGTGAGGAGTGCTAAATCATTCCCCTTGCGTAATAAACTTTCGTATTATTATAGATTGGACCGGCAGTCAGAGTGGGCCCAGTCTAGTCTCTCTGTTTGGTGCGGCCCGTCGGGCATCATCAATTATTTTTCCTCCTGAACCGGCACTGACCCACTGTGTTCAATGAGAAACTCTCAGTCTGCCCGACATCGAGTCTCCCAGACAACCAGGAACCGACCAGATCTTCGCCCGTAATCTACCTTCTCCTCGGAACCAACGGCTAGTTACGAGCACACCTTCTCGATATGACCAAGTCCTAGCAATTACCTATTTTCACAGGTCCACATATCTAGGCACAAAAATAGGAACCAATAGCCACGCTCCAGGGGCATTATATATACCCTCACACATGTGAGGGTCGGTATCGAATATTCACTATTCACCACTAAAATCCTAACACTTTGCTTGTATCTCTTTGCTCTCGTACTTACTTGATCGTCGGAGCACCTTGCAGGTACAATCCTCTTTTTTCTCCTCGACTTTCCATCCCAACAAAAGATCGTCACCCGGCCACCTTGCAGGTTCTGATCGATCGGTAAGATCAGTGGCATCGTCTATGGGAATATATCTTCCCTATTTTCTATTCCTCGTAGTATGAAAACCTAATATCCTCTTCATTCAACAATCATGGCTGACCGTGATGATCACCACCCATCTAGAAAAACCACACTTTCCCCGGAGCACAAGACTGATGGAGGTCAGGAACATCCTCACCTCGAGGATAACCTCGGCCTCCGTGACGATCGAACTAAGTCCCCAGATTTTGTCGATGCCCAGCTGTTTAGTGTGGAAAATGGTAAACAACTGCTGGTGCTCCCAGAGTCCTAAACTGAGGGTAACTTGCGAGATCGACCAGTTGATCTCAAGACGCGTGCTAATAGTTTTTACTATCACACCTATTCTGTCGAAATATTAGTCAAGGGAAATGGTTTTCTTTTGACTGGGGAAATGGGTGAAATGGTTTTCCACACTATGATTTAGTCGACTAACTGGTGACTCGTGACTGACAGAATATATTCATACAAAATAGAGACTCACTAAACAAACTGACTGGTGACTCGTGACCAACAAATAGTGTCAAATTGTTTATGTGAAATAGAAGATAACGTATAGATCTTGCTCGATAGTTAAGAGAAAACAGACAAAGTACTCAAAAGATATAATTGAAAGATAAAGGATTTGCATTGAAAATAAAAATGGTGATTCACGTATATCAAGCACTCTTCACTCTTGATTTCCTGACGCTCAGAATGACAGAGTTTGACAAGTGATTTGAGAGTACAAGTGAACACCCAAAAACTATACTAAATCTGCCTATTTATAGTGTTTACAATGTAACTACCTAGATAAAATCTACGGATAATATTAACATCTTGAGGTAACTGCTTCACTAGATGTTGCCACCTATTTGGCGCTCAAACACATCGTGGTTTGCTGGTAATTGCTCATGATTTTGAAGTTCCACCTATTTGGCGCTTGAACACGTCGTGGATTGCTGATAACCGCCCACGATTCCTCTAAACCTCTTGAACA